TCTCTGCTCTTCTCCCTTGATGGTCCTCGGGACCTCCGCTCCCAGATTGAAAAGTCAATCACTCCCCTCCTTGCTATAAAACGTCATTGGACTATTTTTGACATGTCCCCTTTTTCTATCCTGTTGGTGTGTGCGCTGGACTGCAAAGTCTGCTTGAACTCCAAGGTTGGCAGTTTAAGATCACTAGCCGCTTCTTAGAAACCCTATACAGGGTCACTATGGGTCAGAACCAATTCGACGGCATTTAACAACAACAGGTAGAAAGTGGTGCAATGATTAAAGTGCTCAGCTGCTAACCTAAAGGTTTGGATATGAACCCACTATCTGCTCCGAGGAAGAGCTGGTGATCTGCTCACATAAAAATTTCATCCTAGAAAACCCTAAAAGATGGTCTACTCTATCAAATAGGATCGCTGTGAATCAGAATTAACGTCACTCAACAACAGATAGCTAGAAGAAGCATACTTTCTTTCTAGTGTATTTGACAGGCCTCCTGGTGTGACTTTTATAATAGGTACTTGAAATTTTGGAGTCCTAGTGTGACGCTATAGATAAAGCACTGGACTGCAAAGTTGGCGGTTCAAACTCAGTAGCTGCTCCTCAGAAACGTATACAGGGTCGCTATGAGTCGGAACCGACCTTAAAGACAACATCTTGAATTGTAGCATCTGATCCCAAGGAGTGAACTGAAGACCTTCTGAGTTCATAGAGCTTTCTCAAGCATCCATATTCAGTGAACATTTATTGAGTACCTACCTAATAATGTGCCAAGTTATATTCATTTTCTGTTGCTGAACACATTTAGTGGCTAAATACAGCGTGAATTTATTATCTTCTTCTACAGGTCAAAAGTCTGATATGGCTCTCAATAGGCAAAATCAGGTGTCAGCAGAGCTGCCTTCCTTCTGGAGACTAGGGGACAATCTGGTTCCTTGTCTTTGCCAGCTTCTAGAGGCTGCCCATATTCCATCTGCAAAGCAGCCATGGCTAGTGTCTACAGTATCACTCTGACATTGCTTTGTGCATCACTTCTCCTTCTCTAAGCCTTGCTTTCTTCTTCCACTTTGAAGATGCCTTGCGATTACACTGGACCCACGTGGATAATCCAAGATAATCACTTTATTTTAAAGTCAGCCAATTAGTAACCTTAATTCTATTTGCTATTTTAATTCCTTTTTGTAATGTCACCTAACATAGTCACAGGTTCTAGGGATGAGCAGGTGGGCATCTTCTGGGGAAGGAATGACTTGACCTGCCTCACAAGTGCTTTTCATCTGCTGATTAGCCACCTGCTGGGGAACAGGAACCACATTCCTTTTTCAGCCAAAAGAAAAACATTGCAATGTTCTTGGTTTTTGGGGAGAGGTTGTTTGTTGTTGTCGTTGTTTGCTTAAATAACTAGGGAGAAATTAGTTGTATCATTTCAGTTTTTAAAAAACATGCTAGTGTCTTCAGTTTCTAAAAAAGATTCCCTGTCTATCTAGGAAATAATTTTCCATGATATTATTTGTTGTTGTCCTTTGCTGTTGAGTTGGTTCCGTATCATAGTGACCCTGTATAGGGTTTCTGAGAGCAGCTGGAGGGTTTGAACTGCCGACCTTGGAATTACCAGATCAGTGCTTATCCTATAGCAGATGCTGTGAAGATTTTATTTTTCGAAAGACCTTTGCTAACATTAAGTAGTAAGCACAATAGAGGTTTACTCCAGTGCTATCCTCTGGGTTACAGCTGTAAGACACTTCATCTAAAGTAGCATGGTTGTAAGACACTTATACAAAAAGTCGGTTTCTGAATCAAGGACTTTTCATTATATATTACCATTTCAATGTATATTATTATTATCTCCTAGCAATGTGTCAAATTTAATGAGGACCATGTTTTTTATTCCTCATCTGTCCGGATCTATTTCCATAAAACACAATAATAATAATAATTTAACAACTTGAGTGAATTGCTGGAAGAAGGAAGTAAATACCAAGCGGAGTCATAAAAGCACAAGTCCTGATTTTTCTTTCTTTTTTTAACTCGTTTGGCTCAGCAGACAGAATTAGTTTATGTCAGGGACTGACCTTGACATAATTGTGTTGTTCACGAGTGTTTGGTTCACGAGGAGGGGAGATCCAGCGGCGATAGAGATAGCGAAAGAATACACAGACAGACAGAAGGAGGGAGACAAGGAGGCACCCAGAAACCAGGGTGGATGCATCACTGGTGGGCAGACTTGAGAGTACAGGCACATGGCCTCTGCAGGCAACTGACTGCCCTGCAATCTTTACTGCATGCCCTCCAACCTGTAATGCACACCTGGGCCAGCCTGGGCCTCTGTTTTATTTAGGGGAGGAGCTTCACACCAAGCTGGGAGGGACTAAGACAAGATACAGCTAACGTCAGTAATTTTCCAGACATTCAGGTAACTTTACATCGTACTTCTCTGGTTCCAATCCCAGGCCAGCAACTTGGTTTCTCAGGCTCAATTAACATATCTATAACCCCTGAGCTCAGTTGGGGCAAGGTGAAAGGGAAGGACAAAAGGCTTGGGCGGAGTCCGGCTGTTTCGGCATCCTGAGCCAGGCTTTCAGGAACTTGGCTGAAAAGCTAACACCTGGGAGAGGTTCAGGGAAGATGGCTTTTTTGTCTATAGAACAAAGAATGGGAAGTAGCTCAGCTATTTTCAGTTAATCTTATGGAGAAAGGCTTAACCTTGCAACCTTCACAGTCTCGGCTTTAGGGAAATATTACATTTATCTTTGGACATTAAGGGCTCATGTTTGGAATTAATAAATATAACTGAATACTAAGATGAAAAACAATTTGTTATGACTGCTAGTGGCCAGAATTTTTTCCTCAGAGCTTGCGGCCTGTATAGTCTACACACGGTCTGCAACAAGTTTAATTGCTCTCTAAATGGATCCTCTGAGTTTCTGCCCTGTAAACTCAGACCAGAACAGTCTGTCGGCTGAGGACTGGATGAGGATCACACTTTGAATAGGGCTGTACTAGAAGGGGCCAGTTTGACTTGGCATAAACTGGAGTTTTCCATATCATATGATAAAAATTATAGAAACAATTTGAAGAGAAGCTATTGAATTTTTCTCTTAAGCAAATTTGGTTTTAATATTGTCCTAGGGAATAATTACCACAGAGTTATGGTGGTGGTGGTTATGTGCTGTGGAGTCGGTTCCGACCCATAGCGACCCTGTACAGGGTTTCCGAGGCTGTAAATCTTTACAGGAACAGAAAGCCTCATCTTTCTCTCGTGGAGCAGCTGGTAGTTTCAAACTGCTGACCTTAAGGTTCACAGCCTGATTCCTAACCACTACGCTTTATAGTAGTGAATAAAGATATTATTTGACATACACAGCAAAGAAAAAACAAGGGTGGCAAAAGGGCTGACATGTCATCAGAATGGTCTCTGTACAGATCCCCAATAACATTACAAAACTACCACATACAAAAGATAGAAATCACTTGTGAGGTGTCATCAAGTTGGTACCAATTAATAGGACAACATAACGAAACACTGCCCAGTCCTGTGCCAGCCTTACAATCATTGCTACGCCTGGGCCCATTGCTCCTGCCACTGTATCAATCCACCTCATTGGAGGTCTTCCTCTTTTTCTTTGACCCTCCACTTTACCAAACATGATATCC